CACGAACAAACCGATGGTCTATTTCAATGTGTTTCGTACGAGCATGAAACACCGTATTGTTTGGCAGTGCTATTGCATAAGTGTTGTCGCAGTAGAGATCTGTCGGCTGATCTTGGATTACACCAAAATTTGTAAGAATACGTCTAAGCCAAATGATGTCCGCTGTGAGGGATTGGTGGAGTCTTCAAATCCTTTTCATTGTAACATATACATAGTTTCTGATAAAGTTCCATGGAGAAAAGCGTTTGCCACGTCAAGTTGTTGAACCTGCCAATTATTGTGCAGAGCTATGGCAAGAAGTATACGGATTGTAGGTAGTTTAGCAACTGGATTGAAAGTCTCAGTGTAATCCAAACCATATTTTTGATGGTTGCCCTGTGTTATGAGCCTGGCTTTATATTTTGCTACAAATCCATTTGCATTGAATTTAATATGGTACGTCCGTTTATAGCCCAACACAGAAGAGTTAGGAGGCGGGGGAACAAAACTCCATGTGCCTTGTTTTTGTAATGCAAAAAATTCAGAGGCCATGGCTTGTCTCCATTCTGAGTATTTGCTAGCTTCCTTGTATGTAGTAGGATCTAATTGAAGTTCTTGAGAGGACTGATGATGAATTAGATTTAGACGTATGCGAGGTTTAAGAGACCCCATTTTTTTCCTAGTGATCATCGGATGAACCGAGAGCTGGGAGTTAGATGTGGTAGGATTTTGAATTGGAGGCTGAGTTATAACAGGATTAGGAAGAGACGTATTGGAACCGGGATGGGAAGCTTGTGAGGATTGCTCGGAGGATTGGTTTTGAGTTGGAACATTAGACTTAAAAAGCTGTGACACAGATGTAGGCGTGAGAAAGAATATTGATAAAGCCTCAGAAGATTAATTTGTAGCTGACGTTTGAGTAGCAAAGGGAAATGAAGTTTCGTCAAAGGTAACACGACGAGATAGAACAATTTTGTTAGTGGTCAGATCTAGGCATTTATATCCCTTGTATGTGTCCGAATATCCTAAAAGAACACATGATTGAGCCTTTGGTTGAAGCTTGTGACGGAAAGGAGCCGGAGTGAGGGGAAAGCATGCACAGCCGAACGTGCGTAGGTGACTGTACTCAGGTTTGATGTTGTGTAGGAGTTCAAACGGAGATGTGTTATTGGTATTTATAGAGGGCATTCTATTTATGAGATATACCGACGTTAGGACAACATCAGGCCAGTGTGTGTACGGAGCTGAAGCCGTATGGAGAAGGGTCCTTGTTGTTTCAATGATATGTCGATGTTTTTTTTTTTTTCAGCTACGCCGTTTTGTTATGGTGTATACGGACACGAGATCTGGTGAGAGACCCCATGCCTTTGAAGAAATTGAACGAACGATTGGCTAAGATATTCACCTCCTCTGTCGGTGCGTAAGCATTTTATTTTATGAGATGTGTATTTCTCAATGTTAGCTTTAAAAGTAATAAAGATGCTAAAAACTTCAGATTTGTGATGCATAGGAAACAATCATGTAAAGCGCGAGTAGTCGTCAACAAATATAACATAATAGAGATATCCAGTATTAGAGGCCGTAGGAGCTGGACCCCAAACAGTAGAGTGAATTAAAGCAATAATAGACTATTTTCTATTATCGGATGTTTCAAACACGAGTTTATGACTCTTAGATTTATTACAAGAATGACAGGGCAGATTATGCGTATCTATATGGAGATGAGAATTACAAGAAGCAATGCTGGTAAGAATTCTCTTATTAGGATGGCCCAATCTATCGTGCCAAGGAATGAGGCGAGTTTTGGAAGCGTGGAGCGCTTGGTGAGTAGACGAAGATGCATGAGTCCGAATGGGATATAATCCGTTATAACATGGTCCTCGAAGAATGACATAAGAATGACTTGATGAGTCGTCAGATCCTTAAAAAAGAAACCAGAGGGATCAAATATGATAGAGATATTATTATCCTTGGTTAGTTGAGAAATCGATAAGAAGTTGTATTGAAGAGAAGGTGTATGAAGAATATGAGAAAGATTGAGTTTACGAGAGGGAGTTAGTAGCAATCCATTGCCGGAATTTGCTGTGCTAACCGAACTCCCGTCGCCGATGGTGATGCTGTCAGAGCTGCTGTAAGGAGTGGAAATGGAAAGATTATCCAAGGATCTAGTCATGCGAGATGAAGCTCCCGAATCAAGATACCAGTCCGTGTACGTTGAAGAAGAACCCATAACAAGAGCTTTGTTCGAAGGTTTGGCAGATCTTGGCACATATTGTGGGTTCAATCTGTGCCAACAATCAGATGCAGCATGCCCTTTCTTTAAACAGATTTGGCAGATGGTTGGTGTCGTAGGTGGAAAATCTTTGTTAGAATTGCCATAGGCATAAGATCGGCCTTTAGTCCTGCGACCACGACCGCGATTAGAGAACAATGCTATATGGGGATCTTCAGCCGGAGCAAGACGAGCGGCGTCTGAGGCGATGTGAATTTCTTCACTTATGAGTAATGAGTAAAGTTGATCAAGACTAAGGGGGTGAATCATAGTTCTTATGGATGTTTTGAAAGATTGATAGGCATTAGGAAGCCCATTAAGAATGTAAAGAATTATGTCCTCAGTGTCAATATTTGAGCCTACGACAACTATTTGATCCACAAGAGATTTGATTTCAGTTAGATATTGAATCATAGTTAAATTCTTGAGTGAAATGTGGTGAAGTTCATTCTTGAGTTGAATAACTTTGGATCTATTCATGGATTGAAAACGAGCTTCAAGGGTGGTCCAAATAGCCGAAGTAGATTCGAGATTTACAATGTATTGGAAGAATAGAGGCAGATATGGTAGAACATATTGCTGCCGCTAAGTTTTGATCAGTAAGAATCTATTGGGCATAACTAGAGTTAGGAACGGTAGTACCATCGGTTTGTTGTAGAAGCTTTTTAGGAATGGGAGAATTGGGATCAAGCAATGATTCAAACCCATTAGCACGACAGGTCTTGGAGATCTGAGAATGCCATAACGAATAGTTTTCGGTAGAAAGAGGGCTTTGCACGATGTTCCTGAGATTAGATACTTCTTGCTTTGCACCTTTTTGTAGAGGCCAATTGGCGGCGAGCAAATTTCGGCGATCTCGGTACCCATTGATAGGCTCTATAATACCTAGGAGAACTAAAAACGTTATGAACTTATTCTTAATTTTTGCAAGCACAATGTTCTATCTCCCCTGGCACTAGAGGTGTTGCCATTTACACCAAGGAAGAAGACAGAGGCCCAATGAATAAACATAATCATTTAGGAGGGCAAGTGGGGGCACAAGCCCCCCTAGTTTTTTTGTATCATTATATATAATTGATATATTAATATATCCCAATAATTTTATATGTTTGTATTTCATAATAAACATTCAATTCATGCCCTCCAAGAAAAAAAGTGTATCCATTAAGAAAACAATGATGGCTCCACACTTCCCTTAGCCATATGATAGGATGACATTGCACCCAGTGGGAGGTTCAATGAGAGCAATAAATGTTAGGTCACTTTCCGATAATTCTAGGCGCTGGCGATGCCATATAAGAGAGAAGATGAATAGAGAAATGTATTAATGATAGCAGAATTTTTATACCCTATACAATTCTCATACTAACTTTGTGTTCTACTATCCCCACTACACTCTACTAGCCACACACAGCGAGTGTTCTCACCAAAACAATCTCTAACCAACTATTAGAGAACTTTTTTTCACTCATTTCTTCCTCACCCAACAGCTGACCCGATCTACTTTATTGCCACTTGGAAATCCCTGCTCCATGGTGGTGTCTTGTGATCTCCTTGGTGGAAGAAATGCCAGCCCTGCTGCTGCTGCGGCTGTAACTTTCTCCGGCTCCCTATCAACTTCCTTTCAAAAACTTGCTGTAATCTTGGATCAATTATTTTGTACGGGCATCATCCGGAGGCAAATCAGAACATGCCACGTCACTTCCTTGTTGTGTACCCGTTGTCTTGCTGTGTACCGTGGCTATATATCCGCTGTGTACCGGGTGATGTAGTGTGCTCTGATTTGTCTCCAGATACAGAGCTGCGTCCGGTGTCCACCAATATTCTCATGTTTAAAAGATTAATACCGAACTGCTTATAAATCAGATTCTGGAATGCTCAGATGATTAAACGTCTGATTAGGTAGCTAATGATTTGAGGCAAATAAATAAACTTATCTTGTTATGGTACATTATTAGTTGCTTTCATCTTTTCATAGCGGCTTCTTGCATAAGTCTTATTTTTCCCATCTCGCTTGTTATGATAGCAGTATCACTGGCTTCTAGATTGTAACTAAGTTTTTTTTTTCAAAAACATTGAGTGAATTTAATCACAATCGTTAGAAATTAGCAAGGTGAAAACCAACGCCTCTAATCATGATGCCGCAAAACTTACTATATTCGTAGTTTTGTTTATGGGATTTACATACATACCACTTTATTTTATGCTATTTACATATCTAACATCTAAAACTTTAATATTACATGCCTACCACCTATAGAACAAATGAGTGTGCATGAAATGAAATATTAAAATTTATAAGTTAGTATGGGTGGTAAGAATGAAACAGATGAGTAATATATTTGATATTAAAATTTTATATGAGTGATAGGAATATAATATTAAAATTTTGGGCATTAGATATATAAATAACATTGATATCTATGTAAATACCCCTTTGTTTATTTACATGAAACATTTTTCTATGGTAAGCTACAAGAAAATTAAAGTGAATTGATGGAAAAATTATTACGTGTGGTGTTCGGATGCGCCCGGAGGCCAATCCGGACGCGCCATGTCACCTAATGTACTGTGCATTGGGTGACGTGGCGCGTCCGGATTGATTTTCGGACGCTTCTGCATAGAATAATCTCTCAAATTGATGTCGCCCATAGAACTATTTATCTCTAATGACAGCTTACTTTTCTTTATTAGAATCTCTCTCTCCTTGTTTCCTAAAGGCAATTTATCCACTTTTTCTTTCTTCCAGAATATCAGGCCGCCTCTGCCCCCCTGTTGTCCCATGGCGTTGAAACATCTCATAAAACAATGCTGGGACACCAATCCTAATAAAAGGCCGCACTTTGAAGAGATCGTCCCAACACTTGAAATGTACAGAGAGTCTTTTGAGGAGGACCCGTCCTTCTTCCTATTTTACAAGCCAAGCCAGCAGCAGCAACCTCGATGGTGTTTTCCCAGGTCGATTGCTACTCGCAGGTCTCCATCTTTAAAAGCTTAGCTTGCTTTCTTCAAGCATTTGCGTTGTGATTTGTAGTGTATAATTCTTGAAGCATCTATTTTCTTGTATTGGCGGCCTCACCTAAAAGTGTAGAAGGCTTTGCTTCAGTTATATCGGTTATTTCACTGTTGACATAATTTTTAGACCTAGTTTTTATATTTTAGTGAGATTGCAGCTAAATTTGTGAATATTTATGTTTTATTTGGGATAATTTCCTCATTGTTTTTTTAAAAAAATTCTTATACTAAATATTTAGGGATTTGAGTTGCTCAAGTCTCAACAACATAATTTTTTATATTTATATAAAAAATTTGGTCTCTATTGAGCTTAATTACACTTGATTTAACAACAGAGCTGACAATTTTATCTATTAAAAGCTTGATATAGTTTTGGCTAATGAAGCCTGGCTTGATATTTTCCACTATCCCACTATAAGATTGAAGCCTATGCCACCACCATCTCAACCCAAACATAGAAAACTCAGTGATTCACTTAAACTAAAAATTACTAAAATAGCACTATTACCTTAAAATTCTTTTCTCTCATTCAAATCTTCTAATTTATATAACCCACATCGAAATTGATTCGAAATTCTTTACCTTAGCTTTTCTTCCCTTCTTTCATTTTTCTTTTCTTCATTAATTTTCTTTCTCTATTTTTATTCCTTTTGCAGTTACTATGGACTTCGAAAATTCATGCCCTGACCTCTTAGTGGCCCTTTTTTTCTTTTTCGGGTCATGGTGGAGAGTTTTAACGCTTAAGTTCTGAGGCAAATTTTTAGAAGACAAATTGGATTTTGAATAAGACACTATCTTTCTCCCTCATTTCGCGAGAGCTTTATGATTTGAGTTCAAGTTTACTATAAGTGCAAGCCCGGATAGTTAATTATCCTTCATGATAGAGAGATTGAGCTTTTGATTGAGGTTAGTCATTAAACAGATACATAATATCTGGCATAAAGTAGCAACATGTTTTAGTATTTGAAAATTTAATATTTAAAATTAGAAATTATCACCTTGCACTTAAAGCGGATGGTGGAGGGATGATGATAGACCTGATAAAGATAATATGGTTCCATCATCCTGGGTCATCATGGTCTATGGTCTACTTAGTCAGAAGATGTAGTTGACCCAATCTGACAGAAGGATTATTGTCGGTAGCCATGTGTGTTGCTTTGTCCAATGGTATCTTGTAGACATGAGGTGAATATTTGCTTAAGGGGATAAATTTAAATTCACCTTAGCTAAAAGAGGGGCTTTATGCCCTATCGGTCATATCCTTGATTCCTTGCTCAATGATTTAACACTGTTGGAAAACATACGAGCTCTAACCATGACTGTAATTTAATGGTAATTTTATTTTAATTTTAAATATTTAGGTTTTGATGATTTTTTAGTTTTGAATTTTTATGAGAATTTGAGAGGCATTTTAAAATATTTGGAGTCCTCTTTGGTCGAGATTTTATGTCAACACGACCATCATTAGAGTTTTCATGAGTAGTTTCATTTTCTTGGTTGAACCTTGTCGACTTTGTCTACTTACCTACAAAGGATCGAGTTCGTTGTAGGCTTTATGCCATTGTTAGTATTTTTTTTTGTTATAGACCTTGAAAGCCTAATATGAATGTATAAAATAAATATCTCGATCGATGTTGCGATCATATATATTTGCTTGATAGATCGAGCCATGTCAACTCCTATCTATTCATATATAAGGATCGGGCTCGAACTTAGGTTTGTTTCATAATCTGCTTAGCATCAACAGATGTCATGTATGTGCATATATCACGCTCGTCGAGGCCCATTCGGGTAATCATATTTTAATGCATGAGGGGAGCATTTAAATATAATTATTTGTGTTAAGTTATTATCATTATAGTTTGTGTAAAACTTTATTTGAAGCTTGAGAAATGCTTTCTATCCTTTTGTATACATTTGTAGATCCGATGGCATTATTTAGTAGTGCACTGGGTTTCATTTGCTGTGAATTGACAGTGCAGTTTAGCTCGTTTAATCTTCTACACATCACTGTCATTTTCTTCAATATTCAACATGCAGGAGTGTACTTCAGCTTATAAATGAGCTGCACGTCACATCAGGAGTCTTCCATATGTCATTTGCAAGCAAGATGATTTATCTGGGGTGACAGCTTGTCTTTACAAATGAGTGATTTTCAGCTTCGTTATAGCCCTATTGCTTCAACTTGTAAGCAAATTGTCGTATACATGCGGCTAATCTCCTACAGTGATTCATGGGCGGAGCTCATACTCATGGTAACTCTATTGTGTTGTAGGTGTTTGCATTTTCTTGTAAATATCATGTGGTTTACATGACTGGCCTTCTACAATGGCTCATAGATGCTCGTATTTGTTGAAGTTTATTGGTCCTTGTGGATAATATGTCATATGTACAGGTTATTGGTCTTTGCTTATGGACGATATTGTCACGACCCGACCCGACGGGGACGGATCCCGCCCGAGCCGGATCGCGACAGAAACTTTCTAATCCAGGATCTGGCTTTGGAATTTGGTTCTGAACTGAATCTTCCAAAATAATTAACTCAACAGACACACAAACACAGAACAACAGAGCTACTATAAGTCACCAAATGCAGCAGAACAAAACATCTATATTTTCTTTCTTTTCCTCAAAACAATCATCTACAAATACGGTACATGGCTAGCAGAATAAACACAATGTTACTAGTTGCATGGGAACTACACTTCAGCTCGAGCAAGCCATTACATCCATTGCAATATTGCATATCAACTTCCTTCACCTGCAGGGATCTTATGCATTTATTAGGTACTCACTTGACGTTGACTATGATGGTGTCTTTGTAATCATTACATGTTGATCATTATTGCTTGCGGCCGGGTTAGCATATTCGTTCGCAATTGATTTACATGAGCCATGGGCAACCAGACATATTCTATTGGTGAGTTGATTGCATGTCAATTTCCATTGCTTGTGGGATTTTAATGTGTTCGTTTGTGCGTTGATATCGACTGCAGGGAGAATTTTACACTTGCTGCATATCTTCCACGTTCTAGTCATGAGGAAACCGTCACATTCATTGCATTTATTTCTCCTCATTCATAGGTATGATTGATATGGTTATTGTAAACCAGCTGATGTTGTTTATGGATAAGTTGCAGCATATATTAAAGGGTTTTATTTCGCTATTTGCAATCAGGTTATATGTTTCTTTCAATTTCATTCATTATCACTCATAGACAATTTGTACCCAAGTTTATGTCCACCATGAATGCTCATTTCGACTAAATTTTTTTATTATCTTACAAGTTGCACCTCAATTTTAATTATTAGGTTTAGTTCCCTGCGACTTTGATTACAAGTTTGGTTCCCTCTAGTTCATTTAAGTCTCATATGTTTTTATTTAAATTAGGTCTCATCTTTACTTAAAATTTTGGCAGCCTTCCGGCGTCTCTCCTTTTAGGAAAATTTTGAGTCTTAACTTTCCCACCACATCAAAAAAAGATGTGCATGATCAATGTCGGGTGACACCACGGCCGTAATCTTCAATCCCACCACGTCAAGAAAGGCTTGTATGGGTATTCAGTAGTACATGTTTAAAAATACACAATACTTTTCCTGCAGGCATTAAAGCATGTACATGAGTACTTAAAAGCCCTCTCATGCTAATAAAAGCATGCACAAGACTCACCTACCTCACTGTAACGAGTTCCCTCTCACCATGTTAAAAAAAGTGCACATAATTGGTTGCTCACCGTGCTGCAAGCGCCGAGAGAAAGGTTAAAAACATTATACCTTTCGACGAGTTAATGACGGTGTTGAGGTACCATATTAAGAAAAGCACAAATAATTGGTTTCTCACCGTGCTACAAGCGTCGAGGGAAAGATTAAGAACATTATACCTTCAGACGAGTTAATGACGGTGTTGAGGTAGATGATGGCGATGTCAGTGTGAAGGACACAAAAATCGATACGCAAATTTTCTTTTTTATTTTTCTTTACATTTTTTATTTTTTTCTTTTTTTTTCTTTTTGCCTTTTTCTCTCATTTTTAATATAATAATAATAATAATAATAAATATTATTAATATTGATAAAAATTTAATGGAGAGAGAGAGAGACAGAGAGAGAGAGATTATTGAGAACAATTATTAGGTCAGGTGACCTGACGTAGCTCTACGTTCGGACGTCAATAACATGTCACCACGTGGTCTTACTCAATACCGCGCGGCCCGACGACTTGACCCGGGATTGCTATGTTCACGTATTGCTCGGTATTGCTTGGCAATAATGAAAAATATCGCTCTGTGAAGACCAATACTGAGCAATACCGAGAAAAACTCGGTATTTCTCGGTATTGCTCGGTATTTCTCGGTATTGCTGGGTATTGGTTTTCACAGAATGATATTTCTCGTTATTGCCGAGCAAAATCGATCAATACGAGCAAATACCGAGCAATACATAGCAACACACGAACATAGCAATCCTGTCTCCGTTCCGGGTCGGGGTTGTCGGGCCGCGTGGTAAATAGTGAGAACACGTGGCACTATTTTACTAGCGTACGAGCATATAGCTAGGTCAGCTGACCGGACCAAATAAAAGTTCCATTGGCTGAGTGGGGTTTTGGAATTCGTTAGGGAAGGAGCTCGCGGGAGATTCTCGGATTGGCTTGGCTGAGAGGTGGAGATTGTAAATGCAAGGGAGGAGGAATCGAGTGAAGTCAAAGAGTGAAGGAAGAAGTCGGATCAAGAGGGATGTGGACGTCGTCTTCTATGCGTGAGAGAGATCGGGACTGGAGTGCCTGCGTGAGGTTGACGAACACAGTGAAGAGAGTGGGAGGTTCCGGTTTTGGAGGTTGGGTGTCCGATCAACCAGAGAGGTGGGAACTGGGGTCTCGCGAGTCGGGAGGGAGCAGCTCGTCGGGTTCGGTTACAGGAAGCGGGTTGGGTGCTGAGAGTTCAAACAGGAAGGGTAGAGGGATCGGAATATTAGCTCGATGGGGGATCTGTGGCCGGAGACGAACGGGTATTAGGTGGCTGTGCGAATGGGTGTGGGGGAAGCTCGAACACTGCGGGCTACAGGTCGGAAGATTGGCGTGGAGTGCGGGAGATCCAGGCGTCGGGTCGAGCGGCTTCGGCTTCAGCAGGGAGGAGGAATCGAGTGTGGAAGCTTGTGAGCGGGAGTTCGGGAGATTTCTGTGCGCCGAATCAAGTCGAAGGCTTCTTCCCGCCTTTCTTTTATTAACCGAGGACAGACGACAGAAGCAGGACGTAGATCGTGGGAGTGGAGAGGTGTCAATACATGACTCAGACCCGAAAATTCAATCCGAATCCAATTCAAAAAATTCCGGTAAGGATCAACCTGGATCCAAAACGGATCAGATTTGGATTCGAATTTGAGTTGACCCGAAAATTCAGAAATGACCCGAGTGACTTAAGATTTCGTGTTGAGTCTGCCCTCTGCAATGACTGTGTCGAGTCTGCCCGGTGCGGCGGTGCTTGCATTTGAGTCGAGTCGCGCAATGATCGGCTTTAAGCCTTTAACAACCTCAAGTTTACCATCCTGGACATCCTGGCCCACAAATACGAGGAGCCTGCCACTGCGCCGCTGCCTCGGTAACCTCCGCCATTGCCTCTGGCGCTGTCTCAGATGCACCGGGATATATGGTCGTCGGGTTCGAGGTCATCCCGTGCATCTTCCAGCATGACACTGAGTTGATTAAGAATCTCAAGATGAACGAGAAATACCCTACCAATATCCAATGTGAACCAACCACTGTGGCCATGGCGTTGAAGGACAAGCAAACATTGTTTTTCACCTATGAGCTCTCCTTTGTCATGAGACGGTGAGAGACATTCTCTGGCATCCTGGGGTGGATCCCCCTTATGCCGGGCAAATTATTGGGTTCGGACACCGGACATGTTCGGAGCCTAATGAAAATGTGCTACATCACCTCCTATTCGGCACTGAGCAGTACCAAGCAGTACCGAGCTCGGTATTGCTCAATACCGAGCTCGGTATTGCTCAATACCGAGCTCGGTACTGCTCGGTACTCAATAGTATTGCTCGGTACTCAGTAGTACTGCTCCGTTAATTGAGCTGGATATACACGAGAATATGAGCAGAATTTCCAGAACATGAGGAGGTAAACAGTTACCCCTGCCCAATTCCATTTCTTTTATTTGTTCAGTAGCAGCTACGACCTCCCAGGTCACGGTATTGGGGATAGGGTGCAACCGAGTCAAGCCAGCTTGTGAGCCGGCTCGAGCTCAACTCGTTAACGGGCTTGCTGAGTCGAGCTTATCGACCTTGAACACAATTTCGAGCTCAAAGGTTTAATGAGCCTGAGTTCGAACACTCCGCTGCTCGACTTGAGAGCTCGTCGAGTAGCTCATGTAAGAAAAGAAGATGCAGGCAAGAGCGGGATTTGCAGGCGAGAGCAGGGTTTAGCGGGAGCGGGATTCGCAGGCAGGAGTGGGCTTTGATGGAGCTCAACTGGACGACGGACGACAGAGCTCGGAACTCGCAGCTTGGGAGGACGAGCTTGCAGCTTCGACGAAGGGTCGAAAGTTGACGGAGGTCGACGTAGCTCGGGACAACGAGCAGTATTTGCGGACGGAAGTTGGGAAGGAGCTCGACGAGCCGCTCGTCTCGACTCGTTTCATGAGACGAGTCCAGCTCGAGCTCATCTTTCGAGCTCGGGTTTGGTATTTGGCAGTTGAGCTCGACTCGAACACCTCCTAGTTCGAGCTCGACTTGACTCGTTTGCACCCCTAATTGGGGAGATTAGATTAGTATTATCTATATATATTATTTTTATGATCCAAACAAGAATCAACACCTCCTATTATCAAAAAAAAAAAAAAAGTTTCGACTTCATTATCTTTCTCCTTCCTGGCAACAATCCAGAATTTCAGCTACATAAATCTAATCCACAAACAAACAGATTCTTACCACCGTAAAATCTAACCACCTCAGACCAATCCACTAAAAGTTACAGATTTTTAAGAAATATGAATAATTCACCAAAGATATGATCATTCCATCAACCGAAGAAGAAATAAAAATAAAAATCATATATTTCCATAGTTCTGAATTTAAAAAAAAAAATGTACAGTTGCAACATAATGGATCCTGCAATCACAACCAAACTTGTAAAAGCAGTGTTTCCTTACCTCCATGCTTCTACAGTAGTAGCTTCAATTGAATACCCAACAGCAAGCTTGTGCAGGACTTCAATGTGTAAAAAGGAACCAGCAATTCTTAGCACTGCAATTGCTTATGAACTTGCCGCGAGCTCCAGGTGAGCTTTGCAGCAGAAGTTGGAAATATGATCGTTGGCTTCCTCTTACTCTCCTCCACATATGGAAAATCCTCCGTAAAATGCAAGCCTCTGCTTTCATGCCTTGCAAGCGCACTTCTCACGACCAACTTAGCACAACAGAAGAGATTCCTCATCTCGCAAGCTTCAGAATTGATCATCATTGGCTTCCACCCTCTCCGAAACAGGAATTCCTCCCATTGGAGCTCCAAGTCTGCAATTCTCCACTCTGCATTCTTCAGACGGTTCGTCGACCGTACTATACCAACATACTCCCACATGACTGATTGCAACTCTCCTCGGATCTGTCTAGTCCTCAATTTTATATCCTCAACAATGCAATCCTTAAGGGATTCTGAGAGAACTGGATGGGGCCAAATGTCTAAATGCTTTGTGTTAACGGTCGGGTGCGCCATATGCTCTACTGAAGGCTGGACTGCTCTTCTTGCAAAGACAAGTGCTTCAAGCAACGAGTTGCTCGCAAGCCGGTTTGCGCCGTGTAAGCCAGTGCAGGCAACCTCACCGGCTACATACAAGCCCTTTATGTTAGTCTGCCCATGAAGCCCAGCAAGCACGCCACCGCACATGTAATGTGCTGCAGGAACGACAGGGATGGGCATGGAGGTTATGTCAAGCCCATATTTGAGGCACTCTGCAGCAATGTTAGGGAAGTGTGAAAGAATTTGTTGCCGTGACTTATGGCTTATATCAAGGAACACATACTTTTCACCCCGTTTCTTTAGCTGGTCATCTATGCTTCTGGCCACAACATCTCTTGGGGCCAGTTCAGCTCGTTCATCATACAAAGGCATGAATCTTTTCATGGACTTGTTGTAGAGAATGCCTCCATCTCCTCTGACTGCTTCTGTGATTAGAAAAGCATTATCCCTCTTCTTCATTGGTTTCATTGGAAGGCCTTCATCTGCCAAAGCTGTTGGATGGAACTGCACAAATCTTGATGAGTTTGAAAAATGATTCAGATGTTGAATACTAATCATTATACAAAAGATGAGCACAAAAGGAGTATTACACTTACTCCATATTAGAAATCACAGCTTGAGCACGATGTGCCATAGCAATCCCATCTCCTGTAGTAACCTATAAGTGTGCAGAAGGTAATATGATCATTAGAAAAGTACTCACTTCTGAAGTTTTTATCATTGGATAGAGAATTGTTTATTCTCGGCACGACCTCACAAATTATGTCTCTGACATATGAAAAATTATTCTGTGCGAAATCCAGATCCCGATGAAATGTGCAATGTCCGGTATCGAGCTTATACCGAGCGGTACTTGGTACTCGGTACCTGAGCGTAAACCGGATGGTTCTCCCGTCTGGTGTCCGCACAAAATAATTCTCCTGACATACATAGCGTAGCATTAATGACAATGAAAAGAAGCATAAATTACCAGCGGATTTGTGGTCAAGGGGTAAATGTGTCCAGCTCCTCCGGATGCAAGCAATGTCACTTTTCCTATGAAGCGTGCTATCTAAATATTTCAAAATATAAGATTATGATGATTGCTGAAATCTGAAATCTGAAATCTAATTTCAAACAGATGTAAATTACAGAAAAAAAAAGGTTAATAAAATCTATGGTTCATGACAGACACTTGACCTGTTGTATTTCTGTGTTTAAAGTATCCACGCCATGACAGTATATTTCTTCATTATCCTGCAAATTTATTCCCCAGATAACAGAGGAGATTCCCAGTTAATAATTTGCATTAAATTTAGAGCAACCTTTACCCTAAGAAAACAGAAAAAAAAAAAAAAAACTAATACTTCTTATGAAGGCAAGTTTGTAAGATCTAAATGCTCCTACTGCTGATCCTTGTATCTTTGCTATTTTCCTTGCGCCTACTAGTAAAATACAAGTTGTTTTCTCAGTTTTCTCTCAGATTTCTCCTGTTTTTGGCTGTTTTACTGCTGTGGACAGCAGTTTTCATCTTGGATCTATTTGATTTTGGTGAGAAACACTTGGAAATCCAAGTGTTTGGACTAACAACCATGCTGGTCATGGCTTTTGGGTCTTCTTAGGAACTAGAATGGAATCAGAATTGGTATAGGTTGATATCTAGTGCCCCAATAATTGCATATATTTGAAATAGATAGTGTCATTCAAAACTCTAGAATTTAGAAACACATAGAATGTCAAACATGCCATTCTGAAAACATAGCTTAGCAGTTGAACGGGTAGAAGGTTGCAAGCAAAAAAATGATAAGATATGATGCATGCATGGTTTTCTTGATCAAATAATGTTTCGTCTGAAACAAAAACATGGAACTAATTGAAAATAAAGCCATGTGCAGAAGCTAAATAAATCTAACCATCTGCATGGAGGCAATACTAAAGAAATAGTTTTGTCCAATCAATTTTCAACTCAAGTTTCTTGTGAGAATTTTGACTGCTTCTCGGAACTTCAGGATTTGTAGATTTAGATTTCATTTGGGACAGTTTTCTTACTGCACTGCTTCTTAAAGCAACTTTCTAGTACAAAATTTTTTATTTTTTACTAGAAAGTTGTTTTAAGAAGCAGTAAAAAATCCGTCCCAAACGAAGCCTTAGTTTCTTGATTTTATCTATTTTAACTTTCAAACAAGAACATAGACATAAATGACTGAACTCCCAATGCAGCGTACAAGAAAAGAATGCAAACATAAAATTGAGAATATTCATGTTAGAATAAGGCTAATATTGGATGGAGAAAAAGGAGAAACCGATGCCCTAAATCACCTGTGAGGTCAGTAAATCTATGGCAAAATGGTGCTCAAACGTGGATATGTTAGGATCATCATCCACAGCTTTTAGTAAGGCCCGTTCAATCTCTCTGCCGGTCATATCAGCAGCATGAACTATCCTGTGATGAGAATGACCCCCCTCCTTTGCAAGATGAAGCTGGCCATCTTCTCCATGATCAAATGATGCACCCATTGCCACTAATTCCTTAATCCTGTCTGGACCTTCTGTGCAAACAACCTGAGTCAGGAAAGTGCAGAGAAGCTCTATTATATGAATAGCTTGTAGCAGGTAAGAGTTAACATGCCCGTGAATAAATCAAAGAGCGAAAAATTATTTTTTCAAAATCAGAATTTGTATGGTTATGACAGTAATATGTTGGATTGGTCAGACCTAGTCTCAATATCTTTTCAAGAATCCAAACAAGCTTAGCAGCCTAACTGATTCTAGCTCAGCAAGTGACTTTTTGATAGGGACAACCTACTGTGAAGGTTGCATCCAGGAAACTTCAGCCTCCTAAATAAGAATCTTCCATCCAACTAGTGATGACAAAGGTATGCAACACCTTGGGTTTAAAACATTCAATTCTAAAATGATTTTATCCATTATCTTATTTTAAAGTTATTCTAACTTGATTAATCAGTTGATATCCCTACAACCAGTTCACCATATTTTTATCATCCAAATTCCAATTCATAGATGTAGTTCTTTCTAACTTGTTCTAGTAGAATACAAAATCCTTCTTTATCACAATATATAAAAAGGATATTATAGTAATCATGATAAATTTCTATACAATATAAAACAAGGTCCACGTAATCATCTTGCACAGATCACACTACTTACAGAATGTAGAATATGGCTGATCTACAAGCATCGCCAATAGGAGCTTACCCTTACTGTTTCTTCATCGCACAAGTAACCTCCTGCAACAATTGTGTCATGCATATGACTCTCTACAGAATCTGAAGGGCACAATACAGCACTAACCCCACCTTGTGCATAATTTGTGTTGCATTCATGAGGCTCGGCTTTGGTAATTATAGCAACAGATCCATGTTTTGAAACTTCAAGAGCATACCTCAATCCGGCAACACCACTTCCAACAATTATAAAGTCAAAGTACTTTGTAACATTCTCTTGCAAGCACGAATGGACTGGAGTTCTCTTTGTGCCATTGCAGTAACTAGAAGGGGCTTGGAAAGAGTTACATTGCTTGTAACAGAACAACCTAAAAGTTCTGTAAAATGATGCATAAAAGCAGTATACATTTGTAAGCGTAGAGAGTTTATAGAGAAGCACATTCAGGAAAAAGTACTATGCATACTTTATATCCTCGAAGCCAATAATCAGAAATGGAAGTGCCATTTTGCTGGATTAAATAAGATTTGGACGGATGACAAGAGAAATGATTGCAGAAATAATAATAGAACTGTGGAGATAAAAAAGCAACTACTTCAGGCACGTAATTATGCAAGTGGTACAAGGAAACAAACTTGTGCTGCATTCATCCATGAAAGTTGTACAAATCATTCTTTTATTTGGCATAACAGAAGTGTGAGAGTGAATTTATCCACTGAAAACAATTTCATAGTACAGTAAAGTTTGCAAATTTAAGAACCTAATCATATGATCAAAGAATATGTAAACTGCCCACCAAAAAGACGTAACTGAGCAGCAACATAATTATGATTAGAAGGTTTACTGCCCAAATACATGTCTTGCTGCAAATATTCAGCAAGTAAATGAGAGTTAAAATTAAGTTAGAAAACTTGCTCAAAGGACATAATTATTGGGAAGCTTAGATAAGCTAATGGAATGGAAGTAAATGATCTAGAGTAATAAAAGTTTGTTTCGCGTTGAAAATTGGCCAAAAAAACTGAAAAAGAGGATTTTAGTAAGAAAAAAACCATTCGAATGTTTCTTTTTCTATTTTTTTGTGTTCAGACACAAATAAATGAAGAAAAATTTTATGGGTTAAAAAACTCGAAAGAACATGATTTTCTGCAATAATGTGACAGCATTTGAACAGTAAAGATGTATGGAGATGAGAAGTTTTAAGTTCAAATACACGAGTGCAAGATTTTAGATGCTCGAAAAAGAGGTCTTTATCTAGGTTAAATAAAATACAAAAAATATTTTCTTCGGTCATAGAATAATAAAAAAGTGAAGCGCAAGAATGAACAACTAAAACCATAAGAGAAGCCCGGACGGTAGAAGACATTAATATATCGCAGGAAGATATTTCAGAATAAGTTGATGAAAAAGGAAATCAATCTCACTTGTATGAAAGTGCATATTTAAAACTGCTGGATCATCCCAAAATGTGAATTATAGTTTAGTAGAGATACCTTGAAGCATCACTTTGCAAACAATTTCGGAAGGAAATGCCATATACCATGGAACTTTGGCTACGAAATTCCTTAATTGACAGCTTTGCCCGGCATTGTAAATGGATATTCCAATTTAACAAGCTGCTAGACATTATTTCTGCATGAAAAAAAAGAACTAGCTGTAGGTACATTCGGCAGTCATATGGCAAGAAAGGATAAAATTAAAGAAACATTTAAGCATGATTTGATTAAGACTATAATCAAATCATGCTTAAAAGATATGAAATATTAATAGTTAAAAAGGTAAAAATCTCAAGAAAATCCAACACAACTTCTTTATCATTCTTAATTACAAATATGAATATGCGATTGTAATTGTAAGATCTTCTTGAACAAATATGAAGCTCCTTGAGCTTTCTTGCAAGAGAGAGAAGAGAGAAGAGAGGAGAGAGAGTCAGCACGGAATTAGAAAAATCTTTATTACTTGGCTTGCTTTTCAATTACAACCTATTGCATTTATTTATAGACATCAATGGCTACACAAAGCTACACACCAATGACAATACAAGCTATACAATAAAACTAAAGAAAGTAAAAAGAAAATCTAACTAAAATCTGGACCAATATCCTAACAAATTCAACCTTGGTCTAAATTTTACTAAGCATCTGATTTAGTCCAACCTTCTCCCAAATCTGTCACTACTTCTAAGCTGGAGTCTGCTTTGAGCCCAACTCCTTGGATTTTCAACAAAATAGGATAACTTTTCTAAAAGTGCACCTCTTTGTGGCAATAGAAGCACTTCTTGTTGGACTTGTTCCTTCTGAATTTTGATCTTCCTCTTGCAGTCAAAATACTATCAATATTATCTTCTTTATGTTCAGATTTTCTCTAAACATCCTTTGACATCAAGACATAATTTGCCTTTATCATTGTCAATGTTTGCTTCCCATATAACATAGTGTCAATTATGTGCTCATATGACTTCAGCAAAGAGCCAAGGAGTATAATTCCTTGATCTTCTTTGTCTATTGTCACATCGACATTCTTGTGGTCAAGAACCAATTAACTAAGATCATCCAAATGTTTTCTAAGCTCCTTTGCTTCTTCCATTGGGAGCTTGTATAATTGTTTCTTCAAAAATAGCTGATTAGTAAATGATCTTTTCATATAAAATGATTCAAGCTTCCGCCATACCTCTAATGCCGAGCCTTCATCGGCAACCTCTCTCACCAGTTCGTCACCAAGAGAAAGTAGAATAGTGCTGTGTGCATTTAGTTGTATCTCACTTGCCCTTGTTTTGTCTGTGGCTACAACAAGATTCTCCTCAGAATTGGCATCGGTAAGGCCTTGATGAGCTAGTAAATCCTTTATCTTAATCCACTAGAGGCTGAAATCATCCCCCCATTAAACTTGTTGATTTCAAACCTTTGCATCAACATGATCAAGAAAATAGAACTTGATCTGCGCCCCAACGGCACCAACTCGCAAGATATGCAATGTCGCCTACGCGGCTTAACTTCACGTAGCGCGGCTTAACTTCACGTAGCACTAGTAGGCCTGATTGCCACCCTCCAACCTACGATCCGCTTGAATGCGTGCTCCATCCCTCCTTTCGTCTACGTGCTCTGTTCCG